AGTGAGTGTAAAGAAAGAAGATGTTTAGGCTCTTCCACATTTAGGATTCAAGAGGATAAGACACAGCTACGAAGGAGACTGAAAAGGTGGAGCCAAGTGAATAGGAGGAGAACCAAGAAAAACTGAAGTCTTGAAAGCTAAGGGGTGAAAGCGTTCTGCATGGGCTCCTCAGCACCCTGCTGTGTCATCAAGCGGCCAAGCAGACGCTTCCTTCTTTAGCTGCTAGCCCTGATTAAACCAGGCCCTGGATAATCCCCCTCTAGATTAACTTGAAACCAACTGCTTTGAGGCCTTCATTCATCTGGAAAATCTCTTCACCTTTGTCATATACTATGGACTGAAGGAAATCACGGCTACCACACACACACTCATGGGAGGGGAGGGGATTGTACAGAGTTTAGATACCTGGGGCAAGAGGCAGAGGTCATTCTAGAGCCTGTCTGCCACAGAACGGCTCCTTGAAAAGGAAAGAGTGATGACCTGGGAGAAAAAAGTGGCTATTGCAGGAACAATTTCCTGAGCATGTCAGAACAAATGGGATGGGGCCGTTATTCGCCTGTGTAGGACTAAGAAGGGACTAGAGGGGAACAGTGCCATCAGCTCCCTGTACATTTAGCCAACCCTCTGCCCTCATGTCCCCTGCAAAGGCCCCCAGCACCTTCAGAGTCCTTACTGCTGCGCTCTGTGACACAGATGGGATCTTGCTCTCTCTGCCTTGCCTCAATGACCCCACACCCAGGCTGAGGATTCAGCATTCTCTAGTTTGGTAAGTTCTTTCCAAAATTCTGGGAGACAACTTTTACCTGCTCTTGTCTTTTTTCCCTGTTCTTTTTTTTTAAGCTGCTATTTTTTTAATTAAAAAAAAACTTAATTGTGATAAAAGGCACATAACATAAAGTTTATCATCTTACTTTTAAGGGGGTACAGTTAGGAATGTTAAATATATTCACACTGTCCTGCAACCAATTCCAAAACTTTGTCATCTTACAAAACCAAAACTCTTTAGGCATTAAATAAGAAATAATAACCCTCCTTTTCACTGCTCCTAGACCCTGGAAACCATCATTCCATTTTTTTTTTTTTTTGGACCAGGAATCAAACTCAGGACCTTGCACTTGCCAGGCAGGTGCTTGTGCCACTGAGCTATATACCAGCACCATTCTATTTTTTGTTTCCATGAATTTTGATTATTTTAGATGCCTCATCTAAGTGAATCATACAGTACTGTATTTATCTTTCTCATAAGGGATTTATTTTGCTTAGTATAATGTCTTCAAGCATGTATCAGAATTTCCTCCCTTGGGGCTGGGGACATAACTCTGAGGCATAAGCACCTGCCTGGCAAGCACAAGGTCCTGAGTTCAATTCCCGGTACCACGAAAAAAAAAAAGAAGAATTTCCTTCCTTTTAAGACTGAGTAATTTAAATTTTTTAGAGAAAAATTTCAATTTTTATTGTGGGTCTCTTCTTTATGTGTTTGTGAGTTCCTCCCTCCCCTCATTCCTCTAGGCATTATTTTGCAGGACTTTAAAGACGCAGAGATAAATGAGTGTATCCAATTTGGTCTTCAAAAGGAAACCCATATTCTATTTATGAACTGTGATGTTTAAGGACCCAGTCTTTGATGCTTTTTAAAATCTATTTAGCTTCGCAACACCCTTAAAGGAGAATAGAATACAAGATAAATTTGCATTTAGTCTTCATTTAGCCAAAGAAAAGCTTATGCTTTGATGTTCAGCAAAAATTTTACTTCTTGAGGGTCTTTTTTCCAGCATGAATTTAAGCTTTTCCCTAGGGAATCCAGTATAAAGATTCTCAAAGTGTGGTTCTCAGACTCAAAATATAGGCATCACTTGGGTTAGGGATACAAAATGCAAATTTGGGGGCCCCATGTCATACTTAATGAATCTGAAAATCTGGGGATAGGACCCAGCAACTATATCTTAGTCCCCTAGGTGATTAAGATGCTTTGTAGCATTGAGACTCATTACTCTTTTAGAGGCAACTCTGCAAAGTTGCATCTAGAGATTAAGCGTTTTACTTAGTTTTAGCCAAAACTTTATAAGATTGCAGACTATGAGGTTACTGTTAGTGGACATTTTGGCCTGTACCACCTACAGTCCAATGTTTGGATCTTTTCTGTACTAAAAAGGCAGGATTCTACCTGACCACCTACTATCCCTGCACTCCACTGGCTGCACTAAATGGATTGCCTCAGTGAGAATTAGAGAATCTACAGGATGGTCAAAACCAATCACCTGGATTCTGTACCTCAAGATTAATTAGAGACACTGAAATTGTACTCAGTGCTGAAACCTTAAAAGTATATACAACAGACACAGATAACATAGCCCCTATATCCTCTCAAATACCTACTTTTTTTCCTTGGACAAAAGGGAAAAACTTGATTTGGGGTACATTTTAACTATTGACAGAAAATGCTACATGACTGGTCATACTTATTATTCTGAATCATATAGCTTACCCAAACTATTGGCTTGTCCTCACTATTGTCTTGTTTACCAGCTGCACATAAGCACCCTGATATTTCTGTCCAGTATCTGTTTAATTTCACCATGTCAAAATAAATTTGGTAGCACTCTTATTTCATTTCAATGCTGTGCTCTCAGAGTTCTTTTGCAATTGCTTCTAGTCTGAGTCTCTGAGAAACTGGAGCAAATTGCTTTGTAAATCAACAACCAAAGAATCAATACCAGTGATGTTCTTTAAAAGAATTCAAGACAAATAGTCACTATAAGGCACTGTCACTGCACTCCAAGTTTCAAAGCAAGTATTCTCAAAATGAAAGCAAAGGAAATCAGAAAATATTACCACAAAGGTTATGTGATAAAAGCCAGAATATGATTTAAAAAATAAATGTTTGTTCTGAGAACAATACTAGCATAATGGGTATATTGGGATCAAACCTTACTTTTTGAGGTCATGGTTATTGATTTAAAAATTGATGCAAATAAAAATTGTTATCAGAGAGCTGTTTGCAAAGATGTTTTCAATCCAACATATCCTCTTTTAATATTATCCTATTGTCTGTCTCTCAGAGAGACAGAGGCCATCTAATCCAATTATGCATTTCATGCTTGAGTCACTTCTACATTTCTAAAGAAATGAGAGGTCTCTGGTATTGCAGATGGTGACAGAATCATCTACCACGCCTCATCTAATAAACCAACAAAAAGAAATAAAGATGGAAGCACCAGAGGTAGATTGATAATTTAAAAACGTGTCTCTTGTCACTGTTTGAAAGGGTAGTGCTTTCTAACATTCCTGGGGAAAAGGTGTTAAACATTGTGGCTGAGACTGATAATTGTCCCCCAGCTTGGTTCTCCTTAATTCCTAAATGTTTGCTCAGCACTTAACTGTTCAAAATAAAGATTACATTCCCAAGCTTTCCTTACAGTAACGTGTTTCAGTGCACTATCGCTGTGTAACAAATTATTCCCAAATCTGGAGGCTCAATACAACCTTTGCATTATGCTTACGGGCTCGATGGAACAGGACTCGGAGAGGACAGTCATCACAGGGTGGGCATGACTTCTATTACACTCTGTTGGCCAAGGCAGTCACAAGCCGGCTCAGATTTAAGGACAGAGGAAATAAGACTGCAAAGAAAGATGGGGGAGTGACAAGGGCACACTGTTGAAGAGCACCTGCGGAAAGGAGCTATTGTTGTCACCTTTGGGAAATGCAGTCTGACACACTGTGGGTGTGACCATGCTCACTAACTTCTGACCAAGAGAACAGATGGAGAATTGATGTGCTTAATTTCCTGGAAATATCCTCAAAGGGTGTGCTGGCAGAGGAAGGGAGGTTTCCGTCTCTTTTCCACTTTCCTCGTAGTTGGCGTAAGAGGGTGGAGATGGCTGCTGGTGGAGCAAACATTCTGACCACACACACTGAAGATTACAAAACCATGAGCTTGGAGAACGTGGCTTCCTATGGTGCACATCAGCCATGAACTCCCTACATTTAGACCACAGAGAAATAAAATTCTATCATCTTGTTTAAGTTACTCTAGTTTTGCACTTTCTGCCACATGTGCACAATGCTAATCATAATTAATATAAATATCATAAATGAAGCTATATTATGCAAATGCATCTTGAGATTGTTGAGTATGTGAAACATCATAATCCTTATACGGTAGCAAGTTTAACTAACACTGTATTGTTGTTCCAAGCAGTCATATGTGAGGATCACCATCTCTTACAAAGTTTGCTTCTTAAAATGCTTGACAATTACAACTAGAAGCATTTTATTTAAAAACAACAAATGAGGTTGATAAGAAATGAGACCAGGGAAATGCATTCACTCACTGAGTAAATACAAGCTGCATCACAACCAAATTGTAATATCAAGATGCGTTTTTATGAAAGGGAGTCATTTGTTACATGATTCCTAGTTTTTTAGTTTCCTGAGTCATGCATTTCTTTTTCCTTTTGGGTGGGTGAAAAGACAAATCTGAATAAATCAATAAGAAAAAAAGAAAGACTGAGCTTGCACTAGAACTACTTTGTTTATAATAATATGTTCGTTATAGAAAATTATGTACATGAAAACAGCATTTAATTGACAAGAGACATTTATCTCTACTTCAAAATTGTCAACGTGTAGAGCAGCCTTCATTTGAAAGTCAAGGATGTCTACTCTAAAAGCACCGATTTGTAACCGTCTTTATGTTGAAAGAGTCATCTCTTTGAAGATTTAATTGAAAATTACTCAAGGCGTTAGGAAAGGTTTTAAAAATAAACAATAAGAGCTTAATCAAGCAAAGCTCTTTTTTCTGTGGGACCATCTGTCCTGACTAAACATTTTATCCAAATTGGACTTCCCTGGTTGAAGGGTATCAGTCAACTTTGATAAGGTTTTCCAATAAACAATGCCTCTGTCTCGGTAAATATAGTAGTATTAAATGCACAGAAGAACCATGGAAGAGCTGGAGGCAAGACAATGCACAGGATGACAGGGGGAGCCTGGCTAAAATGAGGCGAAAAGCAAGATGTCACGAAGATAGGGTAGTATCTCTTTGTCCAAAAGAGAACCAGTACCACTACATGGCCTACAACAAACGACAGCACCAACATTTATCAGCGCAACTCGATTCTAGGAGGAAAATAAAAGGCCGCCACTGGTGTGGGAGGCTGAAGTTTCAGGACAAATCGCGTGGGACAGACCCTGCGAGCTCTGTTTGGGCGGCCCTGGAGAACGGCGTGAGGGAATTCGGGCGTGTGGCCCTCGCCGCGCGCCACGCGGACAGGTGGCAGCGGGTGGCTGTGGAGCCCGGGTCACACCCGAGGCAGCCTCTCGGGCCCCGAGGCGCGCGCCGGCGCGGGTTGCCATGGTTTCGGGGTCACGTGGG